CGCCCTCGTTCTTCTTTGTTATGTTTGTTACTCTCTTGTAATACCTCTAACCTTCTGGCGCTCATATGACCTTATGCAGTTGCAAGCGTCGTAAAGCCTCTGCAAAAGCTTTTTTTTTAAAACAGAAATACCACGAAAAGCTGCAGCGAAATCTTGAAAATCTAAAACTCCGGTACTGGTATGTGGAAATGATTTGGCTTGCTAATTTGAGAGTAGAAGTAAGGATGAGGAGATGCAACATGTGTGTATTTCTTTAATTCGACATCGAATAGGTTCTATCGTACACGAAGCACCTGCGCTTTCCTCTCCCTGGAGACGCACAACTGAATAGGGATGTTTTGTGAAAGAGGAAACAATCAAATGTAAAAATCAGATCCGAACAGGACTGGGGAACAGCGAACTCCGAGTTCACTGCTCTTGTAAATCGCGAAATACTAGACAATTTTTTTTATTATTTCGATTTCAAATACCCCCCCCCCCTCCTTCCAAGAAAAAAACAAACAAAAATACATAAAGTCATAAAGGGAAAGGCTACCTAAGTAGGTCTTGGAGCTGTTAGGCCAAGCCAAATGCCAAAATTCAACAAAAATTGTCAAATGGGTTGGAAAATGCTGATTTCTTCGATTTCCTTCTCTCGACGAGCGCCTGGTCTAAGCACGATGCCTCACAAACGTATATTCCCAATTCTCTGAAATTTCAAAACTGCTCTCGTAAGATCAAAGCACAGTATCAACCATTAGCCTTTGGAAGAGTGGTGTTATGTCTACTATAAGCCTCAAACTTTCTTTAAGTTAGTTTAGTTTTAGTAGAGGTTTTACGGCGCTCGCCAACTGCATAATGTCATATGGGCGCCAGAAGAGGTGTTACAAGAGAATAACAAACATAAAAAAGAAGAAGGGGAGATAAGTACGATAGATGTTTGATAGGAAAGAAGGAGCAAACCACACCAGAGCACACTCCAACCATCCATGATGCCTCACAAATGTATTTCCCAATTCCGTGAGATTTCAGAATTGCTTTCATAAGATCAAAGCAAAATATCAAACATTCGCCTTTGTGAGAGTGGAGTTATGTCTACTATAAGTGTCAAACTGTCTTTGATGTAATACAAAACAATAATGATAATATATGAGGCATCGTGACGAAATCAGGCGCTCGTCAAAATAATGAAATCAAAGAAACTGGCATTTTTCTGTCTGTTTGGCAATTTTTATTTCTAATTTTCTTCTTTTTTTTTAGCTCAGCACCTTTTACGTCCATCTAAAAGCACATTGCCGTCTGGATTTTACTGGAAAAAACATTGATTAAAGGTACAAAAACTGTAAATTTTCAGTTTCCAATGACTCAAGCAATGGAGATTACCCAACTTTGGCAGCCGTTTTCTCACTAATTTTTACCCCTGAAACCTCCTTGAATCGCAAATATCTCTACTTCTACTTCTAAGTAAATGAACAGGCTCGAAGATGATACCAATAACCCCAAATGCCCTAAAAGTGACGAGCGCATGATTCCACCACGTCGTGCCACATATCTCTCGTGAACAGTATGCAAAGCAGAAGTTGAACATTAAATAAGGTTCCACGTGCTAGAATAGTATTGAGTGGTTTGTTCATTTTTCATGTCTGCACCTTCCATGACACAAAGAACAGAATGATAATTACATATGTACGTTAATGATTGTGCATATGTTTTTGTAGGAGTGGCGGGGGAAGGGGGAATAGGTAGTGTGTGTGTGTGTGTGTGTGTGTGTGTGTGTGTGTGT